CCTTCGTAGGGCTTGGTCTACTTACGGGGGAAAAAGTCCCCCCCCCCACGAAAGTACATGGTTAATGGTTGTAAAAATTGAAACTGAAAACAATATGACGGTTGATCCGGTAATCTGAGTGCCATCGGTTTTAAGCGTATGTATGCTTACTGCTCATGAGCGGGAAGTCTGAGTTTCTCATTTGATCATGTCTGAACGTGTGTTGCTGAATGATGAACACAGGGGATGCGGAGTCACATAGATAAATGGAGGTGTACGCGGACAACTCGGACGACAGAGCATAGATTTGCGCCAATCTGCTGAAACTTGGATTCCTCGAAATGCTTTCACGTACCATACCTTTCACTCTAACTTACTCAACACTTATTTTTATATTTTCTCTATAGCCTTCTCTTGCACCCCGCCGGGTATATCCACATCCACTCACAATTGGAAAACCGAGGGTATAAGATTACCTCGCTTCACTAAGCGCTCAGCTAGGTGCATACCTAGACTGCAGGCATTCATTATCTTTTTCTGCGGGCAATCCTCTTCAGCTGCGGAAGTAGCAACTGAACCGGAAAGTTGCCCTAAGTCGGCACTGAGGGTCCCGAAAATCTTTTCGTAAGGGATTCCTTATTGGCGAAGCCCAAGTAAGCCAGTGATACACTCATCGTGCAAGGACCTCGACTCGAATTAGCATCAGCCGCAAGTCCTGTGACCTGACCTGACCTAAATATAATTACTTTCATAATAATTTTTATGATTCACGATGAAGCCGATCATTTGTCACTCCGCTGCTGTTATCCTATGTCACAGTCGCACCTTCCAAATGACTATTAGTGAGCTGCGCCCATTAACCTCACGGAGAGTTCGAGGGAGGGATACATAAGAGTCATGAAGAACAGAGTGAGATCAGTAGTCGCTTTATGCACCTTGATGGCTGAATGTTCACCATTTTACACCACGTTTGCGGATGTAAGTCTGAATGAAGCTAAACGTTTTATACTTTTTATGAAGTTATTACGTACTCCTATGAAAACTGTTATCAACAAACGAATGTGAAACTTCGCGAAAAAGAATTATGATGTTCAGTTCAGTTCACTTTGGCCTGCACAGGACGATATATGGTCCAGATAATTGTTGTTGTCTGATCTTGTGGCTTCCAACACTTCCAGTCAATAGGTTTTTTCTGATAAGCAGAATGTGAGTCCTAGGCAATGGCGCTCAGGACTAATAGGTACTTAACTTTGAAATTCTTCAAGGAATATAGAAGCCCAACAATCATCTAAGGCCCTCTTAAAGGCTATGACGTTTGGGCAACTTGCAACCTCCTGAGGCAAAACTATTCCAATAAGGTATTACGCGACTTGTAAAGAGCTTGGCTCAAATATCCAGCCTTACAAGACAACATATCATTAAACCCCAGTCCCGAGAGACCGTTTATGATCTTATTCTATGAGGTCCCCCGCGATTCTCTTTGTTACCAGCGAGAACAGATTAAGGTCATTGAGCCTCTGTTCATAAATCTCGCCTCTCCGTCCCACTATCACCATTGTAGCTAGATATTGCACCCTTTCTAGACTTTCGATATCTTTCCGAAGGTAGGGTGCCCATGCCTGAACACAATATTCCAAGTGTGGTCGAACTATGGTCTTATGTAGAGGGATAAGAAGCTCGGATCTCGTATACGTAGTCATAGAGTGGAGCCGAAAGTTCACTACGAGCTATTTTAGCTGCCGTGACGTTTCAGCGCGGGTTTGAATTCGTATGATATAGTGACTGCCAGGTCTTTAACTTCTCTTTCTCTCTTGAGATCAATTCCATCTTGATTGCCAAGATCAACTTCTGTGGTGAGAAGCTGATATTTGGCTGTGAAGAGGTACGTGCAAATAAGGTTTGAAGCTTAAGCGTGTAATTGATTTAGATACAGGTTTTTAAAGCCGTTTGTATAACGAATGGAAATATTTTGTAGTTACAATTTTCGCGTGCTTGTGTCTGTCCATGATGGAGCCCATGGCCCCAGTGAGACTGCACCTCAGCATAGTGTGATGGCTTTTGCAGCTCTGTGACCCAACGAGCTACACAAGATGACTTTCTTAAGCCAAGGATCTTATCATGTCTGGGAGTTCCAACGGTAGAGTTCAGAGAAAGTCTAGCCTCCTGATCATTCAGGTTAGTTTTCATTCGAATAGGCCTCTCAGTGAATAACAAAATGATGGAGTAATTGATCTAAGCCTCCGATCTTGTAACTTTACGCTGGTCACCTTTTATAGCTAAGCTTGCTTCTCTTGTTGCGTGCAAGGTTGGTTTTTTATTTCGCGCCAGATTTTTTTTTCCACCCCAGCTGATCTACTGCACAAGGCTCAAATCCACCATGCTCTTGAATTCTGTAGTCACGTTTGGGGTGGGGGATTCGTATTTTTCTCTTTCCCTTCCTGATCCTGTTCAACAAAAGGCCATCCGGCTAATCGATGATCCTTTCCTAAAGTCCAGTCTGCAGTCACTAGCTCATCGTCGGGTAGTTGCTTTATTGTCCCTGCTCTGCCGTTACTGCTCTGGTTTTTGTTCTTCAGAACTCGCCTCGGATGTTCCTCTTCCTGCAACTTTTATCCGCCCATCCCATACACAGGCATCTAGTCATCCTTGTCAGATTTCAGTTCCCAGATGTACTCCTTTTCTCCAATCTTCTTCCTTCGAAATTCCAAGTTGTAGAACACCTTTTTCTGTTTTCCCACAACACAACCCACATTCAGACGCAGAATCAATAAACGGGATCTTATATGCATGTTCCCCTATTCTCATTTTTACGGTGTGCTATTTGTCTGTGGGGATTTCCCCTTTTACTGTGTATCGTGTAATAAAAAGGCCTCACCGTCTGGTTGGCAGTCAGGTTCTTATTAGAACTAAAGACTTGAATCGAGAACCCTAACCGTTCTACTTGCTGATTGAGCTCCATCACAACAAGACTGCACCTTGACGTGGTGTGATGGCCTGCGCTCCTCCATGACCATGCGAGCTATACTGGATGGCTCACAACCGAAGATCTAATCATGCCTGAAAGGTCATTCATTATAGGTCAGACGAAGCTCAATCTCAGAAGGCCAGATGGATTGTGCCTTAAAACG